CACACACACACACACGATGCTCAAAACTCCGCATTTGAACAGTCAATAGCAGATACTTAAACTAATAACAAAACAGTAGCTGATTCAGAAGCGCCAGATTGTCATAGCAAAGTCAGAATTACCTCCTCTCCTAGGTTCACGAAACGGTCGTCCATAAAATGCATTGCTGTTCTGTTGTAAGTAATCTTAAAGATTCCTAAATGCATCTAGTTTCGGAAGGCCAAATAAAGTGCTTTTACATGGCTGCATCAACACTACTGCTGTTCCTGAAGCCACGCGTTCTTTCTTTGCGTGCACATTTGGGTGGCATTATGCTAATATTTCCACATAGTGAGGTAGATATGTGGGGGCGTGTTAGAACGAGCCGTTTTAGGTAGGTGCGGCTGACTCTTAACTTTTATAAAGAATATCTCTTTGGATTTGAGACTTTAGTCTTTGCAACTTTACAGATCTTCTTTATGCACCAAGAGCTTGTAACACTCCAAAGAGAAAGGAAAACTTGAAATCGCATCATATGACCCCTTTAATCAAACAGCAACAACAAGGAAATCTCTCACTGCTCTTGATTGAATAACTTTTGTAACTTTAATAAGGATTCATCTTTAATTTATAGTCAAATATGCAGTGTTATTTTACATTTGATTACTTTATTCAATTTCTGTACCTAAAAACTAATGTTAGACCTACCTAAAAAAACTGAAAATCACTTTTTATTTTATTTGTATCTTTGCTCTATTGTATTTATTTGTGCTGTTGCTTGTAGTTAGATTATTTGTTATCTTCATTATTTTTATTTGACAATATAGTTTTTTCCCTAAACATAGCACATACCGAACCGTACCGAAACCGTAATTTTAAAAAACGTGATACAAACCGAACCTTGAGTAAGTTGAACCATTGCACCCCTAGTAATTACATGAATAAAAGTTATGACAATGTCTTGATATTGTGATGAGATATTAATGCAATAATGTGATGCTTTTAAAAGTAACATTTCACAACACTGACACTAGAGTAAAATATATAGTGTAAACATTGATATAATAGGGACCATGCTTTTCCACAGTATCTTCAGCCTCAGCGGTGATATAGTTACCGTGACAACGCCCTCAGACTGCCGCTGGCTGCAGGTGGAGTTTTGCCCACAGAGTGGAATAAAGGAGGAAGAAAAGGAGGAGCAGGGGAAGAAAAGGAGTAAAGTCTCAGCTTCAGGGAACATGGTAAGATTGAAAACATGCATGTACACACACAGACACACACTGTGTTATTTAGACATTATTTATGTACTATTATAATATTTAATAATGTTTTGAAATAAAAATGCGTTTTTGTCATTTTTATTAGTTTTTTGTTTTGTTTTTACATGTATATTTAGCCTTAATTTATTTTAAATTCAGTTTTAGTAATTTTTTATACAATATTAGTACTTAAACTTATTTTATTTCATGTCTAGTTTTAAGTTTATTGATATAGTCATAAAGTATGCCACGCCCACTACTGGTGGACTACTTTTATTCATTCCTATGAGGAAAATGGGACAAATATCCAATAAATGTGTCGTAAAATGACAATAAATGACAGAATCATAACTAGTAAGACATTTGAAGTGCAATTGCAAATGGACTTTGCATTTCCATTCACAATTTGGCAGATATGTTACATACACGGAAAAGAAAATTGAAACACAAATGCGCGATTTGCAGTTGCGTTTTGATTATGTCTCAACGCACTGTATGTGTCAACAAATTGAAAACGCAATTGCAAATACAATTAGCAATTCCTTTTGAAAATTGTCTGGAATATCATTCCATAGTTTCAGTTAATCAAAATACATTTTAATACTTTGTTTTAAATCACAATAGTACTGTGTTGTACACCGTTCAGATTGTTGTACAGGTGTCCTGATTTGCTGTCTGTCTCTTGCAGCTACTGATGGAGGTGAAGGAAAAAGCTCTTGAGGACCTTCACCTACAGGATGAGCTCAGTGGTAATAATACTATATAATAATACCTAGTCATACCGAATAATGCTCAATAACAAAGAAAATGCTTAATAATACTTCTCATAGCCTTTTCTTATTGATACGTCATTCTGTTTAAACTTATTATAAGTTTTCTGTTTATGTTTTACTCTATATCAGCACTGCCTGGGAAAAAAAGCTTTTCAATTTCTTGATATTTTAAAATTGAGGAGCAGAAATGACTGTATGTGTGTCAGGGAAGAGCTTTTGTCTCCCTTTGTGTTCATATCAGTGTCTTTTTTTTTTATTCTGAGTTTAGATGTTGAATGTTGTCTGAGGCAAATGGATCGAACTGGAAAGCTTTTACCTCCAGGTACCTTCTCAAAACAGTCATCAGCATCACTGCTAATGTGATCCCAGTCTAAAGGATTACATGCTAAACGGGTTTCTGTGTGTTTTAGTGCATGAGCATTTGAGTGTTCGGGAATCAGGGATCAGGTTAATGACTTCACTCTACCTCTGTCCCGGACCAGTGCCAACAGCAACACAGGTGCATTCATACAATTTGGGCATGTGTGAATGTAATGCAGAATGCACATCGCATTTCTTCATTTAATTTCACTTCTGTAATGAGAAAATATCTTTTCTCCATACAGTTGTTCTTGTACTTCAGTGTTGGTCTAGCGCCCTCAGTGGGTCAGGAGCTGGAGATTATTGTAGAGGAGTCTCTAACCGTCAAAGAGGTCAACTCTGGATTTTATTTGAAATTTGAGCTGTGTTCTGAAAAAATGCTGGTGTTTAAAAATGCCGGTTCTTGTTATTGCAGTGCCTTAAGGAAATGTTGCAGATGGCGAAACTTGAAGGTAAAATCATTCAAATGCTTGTTATTTAATCAATGGCACATTTAACTTGTCTGGTTTTCTCTGATTTATTAATGAAACGCATGTTTCTCTATCTAGGTGAGTCATGGCACTTAAGGAGAGTGGACTGGTGTGAGGAGATTGGAGAGCCATTTATGGATGAGGTAGGAATAATCTCTAAAATTAATACTAATCCACTAATCTCTTTCTCAGTTTGCAATGACTTCAAATATTTGACTCCTGTTTACTCTTGTTTCCCAGAATGCATCTCTGAAAGAGGCAAAGGTCATTCATGGGGACACACTGGTGCTGGTGGAGGGACGACTGCCTCCAAAGGTGCATTTTCAGTTTAGAATGATTTCTTATGTAAGATAAAAAGGAAGTAAAAGTTTACAAACAGCTTTCTTTCATCTTATCTCAATTTCAGGGTTACCTCAAGCTGTCTGTGAAGATGTATATAGATGTGATTGACAGCTCCAGCGTTCCAGAGCTGAACCACACAGCAGAGTGTCAGAGCATTGAGGGGCTCGCCACAGGTTTGACTTCTAGCAAATTTTCTAGAAACCAAGTGAGATTCATGTTGTTTCTGTCAGATCGTGGCTGCTTGTGGAATATCTCTGGTTTGTGCTTGTTTATATGTGTTGTCCCGGTGTTTCAGAGTGGTCTGGATCAGAGATGAGATTCATCGGTCATGTGGAGATATCCGAGGAGGCTTCACTTGATGATCTCAAGACTCAGGTTGGCATCAGTACTCACAGCATTAATGATGGCAACTGATAATGATAATTTAAAGGTGAAGTGTGTCATTTTACTAGCAGCACCATATGGAATTGTAGAAATGTTTCCCAACAGTTTCCCCACATAATCCTGGCAGCCCTTCCAAACTGAGTATATACAAAATATGCCACAAGACCTGATTTTGTGTAATAGTGCAGTTTTAATGATCACCATTGTGTATGTTGAAACTATAACACTAGAGGATACACAATAGCAAACGAAGACTTGAAATGGTCAGTTTGCAAAGTTTTACTGTATTTCATCTCAGTCTTTATTTTATTTATTATTTACTGACTTTAATTCTTTTCATTCTTATGGTTTCAGTTTAGTTCATTTCCCTGTACTTTTAGTGTTTAGAGGAAACAAGCAGCCTACAGATCACAAATTTATAGTTCTGCAATCTGCATATTAAACTGGGACAAGAGAAAAGATTTTAACATCAACAGATCTGCACACGTCACCTTTTATGAGTATTCTCATCACACTTCTCTTAGCTAGTTCAAAAGTTTGGGGTCAGTATGATTCCACCCACCCACCCTCCAAAAAAAAGAATGCTTTTATTAAGCAAGGATTTATATTTTAAAAATGTTGTTTATCATGAAAATAAATGTATTGCCAGTTCATCTAAATCTTACACAGCACTACTGTTTTCAACATTTATAATAATAATAAAATGTTTCTTGAGCAGCAAATCATCATATTAGAATGATTTCTGAAGGATCATGTTTCACTGAAGAAAATTCAGCTTTGCATCACAGGAATGAATTGAAAACAGTTATTTTGCTCAAACAAATAACGTTGGAGAGCATAAGAGACCTCTTTCAAAAAATGCACACACACACACACACACACACAGAGAAAAGCAAACTTCTGAACAGTAGTGTATACTTTTGGCTACAGTGTAACAGTGCAATTAATATGCAGCACTGCTGTATAGGATCGGTATAACTGCTGCAAATCCCACAATCCCTTGAGAAAACTTGTGTTCTGGTAGATGATGACTCTGCCGGCACTTCAGGATGTGTGTGTGCCCAGTCCTGCGTTCCTGCGTGTATGGCTGCTAGAGTGCAAGAAACTGGCCAGGATACTCCGAGGAAACCAGCAGACACTCAGGTTGACAGCTTTGGATTGTCCTTCTTTTTTGTGTGAGGTGTCTCTTACCCCTTGTCCCCTTAATGGTGCTGTAATGGAAACACTGAACGGTGATGGTGGAAAAAGCATGTGAAACTTTTCATTGTATATGGGCTTAATGTCCTTCTTTTCCCGTAGGAAGCTGAAGCTGGGGAACGGGGCGGATGTGTGTGTTGAGAGGCTGATGAAAGAGGAGGACCTGGGGTGAGACTTCCTGACAGCAATTCAGACAATTAATCAAATCCATGGAAGAAAGAAAAACGCTGATCGTTCTTTTCTCTTTATCTGTACAGCCTGAAGGATTTATTGCTGAGGGTTCAGATGGGGGTGCCAGGAGAGAAGGCGTATTATCCTTCTGAGGAGTTTTTGTGGGACACAGGGCGGGACAGCACCTCCAGGGGCCTCTACGCTGCTCTGGCCTCCCAGTACGGTCTCACTCCTGACAGCCTGCTCTTGGCTAAACACCTGCCTGACAAACACACCTGGATGCCCATTTCCAACTGGGTGAGAAGAGAGAGAGAAAATGGGAATACAGTATATTTTTAGGCAAGAGTTGAGTATACTTGAATAATCACTTCCTAATAATCCCAGACTCAACAGGTCTCAAAAAGGAAGAAGAAGAGGAAAGCTGAGAGTCTCCAGGCAGCTCCCTTCTACCTGAAAGATGGAGATATTATAGGTGTCAAGGTAAATTTAATCCAAAAATCTATTTATTTTTAGTACTGTTGGGGAAGCTGCTGTAGAAACTATGCCTAAAATCCCCATCTGCCATTACTCAGTCAAATAGATAATCCCTCCCCAAATGTATGTACCCAAATGTATGTAGTTATTTTAAGTTACTAACAGAAAATAATTACTTTAAAGCCATTTAGCGCTGCAATATCTTGAGTTGTATTCAAACACACATTGCCTGTGTGTGTTCTAACCACTAAGCTCCATCTCAATCAGCAAATATCTTTTTATACATAAATTTACAAAAAAAAATACAACATATATCAGAATCAGATTGAGCTGTATTCGCCAAGTGTGTGCAAGCACAAGGAATTTGTTGTGTTTTTAGGAGCTCTTGGTACAATCATATATACACATATATATATATATAACATATAAATAAATAAATAACGTTTTTTTTATTATATATTATAGTCGCAATTACATATGCACACTGTAGTTGCCTATTTTGAGATTATCGCATTGGCTGACAAAAATGACTGATAGGCTTGTCAGACATGATAACAGTTTTTTTTTTTTTTCAGTGCATTTTAAGAAAATATTATGTAAAGTTTCTGGGGGGTTTTCAGCAAGGCCTCACTCTTGTCACTTTTTTGTTTTGTTTGTATTTGCATGTATGTAGAATCTGCTAATAGACAATAATAAAGAATTCACTACTCTGGAAGATGAGATTGGTCAGCAGAGACTTACGGTGGAGGCAGACAATCACAACACAAGGTGCATCTTCTCTTTGGCTTTTATTGTCGCTCTCCAAGATTACAAGATATAGGTTTGTCAGCCTTTGCTGATTTCATTTGATTAAAGATGTAGTTATAAAACTGCTATAGTGTTTGGTCTTTGTGGTCAGTAATAAATATATATTTTTAATTCATATTTCATTTTTTAAATGAAAAATTCATTTGTAAAGAAAGACATTATAATGTTTCACCGATATTTCAAATAAATGCTGTTCATCAACTTTTTGAACTGCCAGAATTTTTTTTTATCAAGCTTTCAACAAAAGGTAGCAAAACATTGATAAAAGTAGTAGATATTGAATAATACATGCATATTAGAATTGTTTCTGAAGGAACATGTGACACTGAAGACTAAGTAATTGCTGCTGAAAATTCAGCTTTCCCTTCACAGGAATAAAATATATTAAAATAGAAAAAGTTATTTTAAATGGTAATAATATTTCACAATATTACTATGTGTTTTTTACATACTATGTATGCATTTTTTATCGAATAAATGCAGCCTTGGTGAGCATAATATATTTCTTTCAAAAACTTTAAAAATATTACCAAACTTTTTTTTTTATGTTGTCCACTAGGGTGCGTCCTGCCACTGGAGAATGTTCACAAGACATTGGGTCCAAGAAGTCGGGCCCAACTAAAAACCGGAAACCAGAGGTGGCCTTATCGATCAACGTGGGAGTGTTCAGGTAACCCATCCTGTAAACAGCCATCTCAGAGCTTCTCAGAGCTGCCTGTTGGTCTTCACAACCTTCACTAAGGTGCCATGGCAGAGTCTGCCCCACTGAGTCACAGCAAGGAAGCCAAACTGAAGACACTGTGAAAGTGCTGACCTGGGAACCCACCCTGTGAAAAATACGATTCTTTGGATGCTGATCACAATAACGGCGCCATGGGTGTAAACTTACAGATTAAGGGGCAGTAATATTATAATGAAATCCCTTTGCCATGTCACCATGGGAGCGAAATCAAACGCGCTCGTTTTCTCAGATGCTTGCAGATAAAGGCTTACCAAAACAAAGTTACTGGGTTAATCTTTATCACGTTTTCTTGGTTGGTAGATGCACCGGGGACCTGATTATAGCACTTAAAAGTGCTGGAAAAAAACCTGGAAAAGTCAGATTTTCATGATATGTCACCTTTAAACAAGCTGAGACAATTTCTTACCGTGTTCAGCACTGAACTGGCAAGCATTTTCAGCTGCAGTGTTGAACTGTTTCCTCGTTGAGAGTCACCACATTATCCTGTCTTCTCTTGCATTTGTCTTACGTGGACGACCAGCCTTTTGGGGGGACTTGAATGAATTAGTGTCATTTTAAAGGTGCAATGTTCGAGAAATTACAAATTTGGAACAACAAACTTCTTGTGCAAAGGCTGAAAGGGTCGTCAATTTGGTCTTCATCAAACCTGCTGTCGCAGGGTTTCAGTCACCTTAGAGCGGCCTGCCATCTTGCATTCTCAGTGAAAATTATCTCAGTGAAATGCTGCCCAGATTGAAAATTGTCCAGGTATCCATTTGAGTTTAAGTATTTGTTCAGCTGATTAAAGACTACCTTTTCAATAATCTTGCCTATAAAAGGAATATTTGATATTGGTCTGTAGTTGCTCAATATGGTGTTATCAAGATTGCTCTTTTTCAGAAGGGGTTTAACAACTGCAGTTTTCAGGGCGTTTGGAAACGTCCCAGAAAGAAGTGAGGCGTTCACCACTTCCAATAGATCTGCTTCCAAACAGTTAAGCACTCTTTTGAAAAAATATGTGGGAAGTGTGTCAAGATAGCAGGTTGACGATTTAAGGTGCTGTACTATTTCTTCCAAAATTTTACTATCAATTTCTTCAAAAGTAGACATAGTATCTTCTTTTTGGTATTGTGGTCGAATCTGTCTGACCTCTGCATAATTTGGGGATGTGCTAATCGCCTTCCTGATATTATTGATCTTCTCAGAAAAGAAGGAAGCAAACTCATTGCATTTGCTGTCGGAGAGAATTTCACTGGCAATCTGACTTGGGGGGTTTGTCAGTCTCTCAACAGTAGCAAAAAGAATGCGAGTGTTGTTTAAGTTACTGTTTATAAGGTTTGAGAAGAATGACTGTCTAGCCTTGCCTAGTTCCACATTGAAAGCACGAAGGCTATCTTTATATATGCTATAGTGGATTTCAAGTTTCGTCTATATTTTTAAATTGCTAAAATGTTCAAAAAAGCAGCTATTATATAATATCCATTTCTAATGTCGCCAATAATTAGAGATGCACTGAAATTCCGGCTGCCGAAAATGAGTTCACCGCTCAGGTTTCACTTTCACGTGGTGTGACGCTCTGTGTATTATCCCGCTCTATGCGTGTGTGTATTTATTATCCCGCTCTATGCACACACGCATAGAGCGGGATAGTCGCTCAGTCGCGTCGTGTCCGCTCAGTCGCTAGCGTTCATGCTCATCGGAACAGCAAAGTCCACTCAAAAATCGAGCTGACAGGAAACATCGATGTAGTACAGTATTGTTTCTGTTTGCAATAGCCCTACTGTGTTGTAACAAGGTGTGGTAAATGGGCAACTCTGGTAACGCTGCCCTCTCATTCATAGATAAACACCAATAGCTTGGAGGTATCTGTAGTGTTCTCTAATTTTGATCAGAGTTATTTTTTAAATATGTCATTTAAGTTTTTTATATACTGTTTTTCAGAATACAATAAATTTATGAAATATGCTTAAAAAACTGCCCTTCTACTCCTGTTAGGATAACTAAATAGGACTAAGCAGTGACCTTGAAATTTAGGAAATTGTAGATCGTTCTCTAATTTTGATCTCCACTGTAGCATGTAGTAATCAGCCAGAGCTCAGGAGCCTCATGGCGCCTGTGGCTCAGATTCAGCATCGGCAAAATAACATTCTCTAATATTTATAACAATAGCAAATCTATTTTTGTAACGCAGCAGATCAATCTTTTAATATGCTTGTGTATGTTTAGTTTCCACATTCTTTTTATGAATGCAATTGCAAAAAGCAAAAGTTGTTTTTATTCCATATTTCTTAAGTGAGACTGAAGATGAATTGTTGTAGTATGCATTAGAGAAGATTGTTGTTTTCAAATAACCTCAACTAAATGCATATAATAATAAGCTAGTTTCAGTGATTTTTATGACTAGAATGTTTTGCAATCATATTTATATGCATCAGTATGTCTGAGATCATCTGCAATAGATCTCACCTGTATTTAGCGTTGTCCACTTGTGATCGGATCGACGAAAACGCATCTTAATACCAGGTGTAAACAGGGCCAGAGAGGAGCCCCACACAATTGTGTGGTTTGTGATGAGGGGCTATCTGAATGTGAAAGTAAGTGTCTTTCAGGTCCACCAATAAAAACCAGTCCCCAGGGCATATTTGTGCAAGGATCTGTTTCAAAGTCAGCATCCTGAGCAGGTGTTTTATCAGCGCACGGTTCAGATACCTGAGATCGAGGATGGGCCTGAGCCCGCCATCTTTCTTGGGAACGAGGAAGTAGTGGCTGTAAAAGCCTGACTCGCTGTTCACTAGAGGAACCGTCTCCATGGCTTCCTTTGCAAGCAGACTTTGCACTTCGGCCATAAGAATATGAGAATCATTGTCCTGTACCGTTTGAATAATACCTCTGAAGCAAGGGGGTTTGCAAGCAAACTGGAGTGAGTAGCCTCGTTCTATGGTCTACAGAACCCAACTTGAAACACCTGGGATGGCTTTCCAAGCCTGGAGCTAGGGGCTGGGAGCTGATATTCATGGTATTGCTCTTTTAAGTATGTGGGTCCGCTATTACAGCAGTAATTTGCTTGGGCATGTGCTGAGTGGGAAGGATGGGCCCAGCATGAGCCCGGAGCTAAACGGGGAACTGGAAAGTGAGCACAAGACTTTTTTTTGGGCGGTCCAGTCTCAGCAGGACCTGGTGCTCTCCTTTTCCTCTCTGCATAGAGATCGAGACGTCTTCTAGGGCTCAGGGTCCAATGCCACTTCAGGGCGGCGTCCTTGGCACTTAGGAAAAGGGTAGCGTTTAGCCATCTGAGGGTGCTGTCAAAGCCCAAGCTCTGATTTTAGCCGAGGCTGAGGTGGAGACAGCAAAGGCTTTGCAGGCTGCTGGGAAGACGGAGCCTTCTGGTGACCTGAACCAGATACCGAGCTGGAGCGCTTAGGCAGGAAAAGGCATGACCTGTGATGACTTCTGTGCTGTAGTGAAGCACTTTGCAAAAATGTCCACGGTGGGGCCAAATAACCCCGTAGGGGAGACAGGGGAGTCAAGGAATTTGACTATGTCTGCGTCCTTGATCTCTTTCAAATCCAGCCAAGGGTGCCACTCAGGCACCACCAAGCTGGCCATGGTCCCACCAATTGTCTGTGCAATAGCTTTAGTAGCATGCAGAGCCAGGTCGGTTGCTGTGTGTAGCAAACAAACATCAATATTTGGGCCGGACTTGTCCAATCCACGGAGGATTTTCACTTGAAGCACCACCATCGTGTGCAGCGCTGAGCCAGCCTGGCCAGCTGCTGAATAAGCCCTGCCCACTAGAGCCAAAATGGTCCTGCTGGGCCTGAATGGGTGCACAGCCTTGGCTGTTAGTCCTAGGGCCGATGGTGGGCAGAGATGTGCAGCGACTGTCTTCTCCAGAGGTATGAGCTTGCCATATCCCTTTTCTTCAGTGCCGTCAAGAGAGTGTTAACTTATTGGGGAGAAGGGTGCCAGGATCTTCTCCGGAGCACATCCAAACCTCTGAATCTGAAGTTGTCAAGGATATGGAGTCATCAGTGACAGCATTCTCCTCTGATCTGCCTAAAAAGATCAAACTGCTCATTGCAGATGAGGGGCGCTGATCCTCCCTGACAGATGAAAGTGTGACTCCACTGTTTCTTCCTCCGAGGCAGCTGGGAGGGAAGAAATGGGAGAACGGGAAAAGCGGGGCCGCCTTCATTGAAGAAGGCGATCTGTGAGTGAAGCAGACGGAGACTCATGCTCTCACAGTGAGAGCAGTCTGTCTCAGTAAGCGCAACTTCAGCATGGGTACAGCCCAGGCAAACGGCACACTCACTGTGCTCAGTGTGCAGCGATTCCCTGCATAAGCCACATAAGCGGTGCTGCATTTGCAAAAACGCTGAGGAAATTTGCCCTAGGAAATTTGCTCTTTGTGATCACCAGATAGCCGCAGGGGAGAAGGCGCTGAAGAGGAAAGTCTTCCCTCTGCCTAGGCTCTTTCATGGCGATTAGCAGGCTTCAAGCTCCTTGCTTCACAGTCCAGTGAGGAGATAAACTTCGTGCTGAGGGAGAAAATTCTGACAAATGGTGCTCAGAGCCAACTTATATAGCAGTTGGCTCCACCCCTTTTGGCGGGTTGAAGCGCTATTTGTTTTGTGCAGTTACATGAACAAATCTGGCTTTAGTATAAGTGTAAACAGTAGTTTCCCCATAAGCGCCCTTGATGCAACTGGAGAGACCATTCAAAAGGGAACATCCTAGTAGACCTGATTATTCAGTATTATCCAGACTGACATATCATATCATTCAGCCTAGCTGAATATTCCAATATAACGCAACACTAGAAACACTAATAAGACAGATCAAAATGAATGAATGGGAATTAAACCCAAATGACTGGTTTTATCATTCAAATTGATCAAACAGGCCTTACGGTCACTGCTTCAATACAACAATCCGGTCCGGCAGGAATTGTTGGTGGGGGGAGTGAATAACCAGTGCTCTCTTCCACCCTTAATACCACGACTGAGATGAGACCCTTGAGCAAGGCACCAAACCCCCAACTGCTCCCCGGGCACCGCAGCAATATGGCTGCCCACTGCTCCAGGTGTCTGTGTTCACTACTGTGTGTGTGCGCTCTTGGATGGGTTAAATG